ATACAGACCAGCTTTGTTAGCAGAGGAGTCTGTATGGGCGCCTCTGCCCCCTGCTTGTAAACATGTGAACATAGAAACGTGGAAAAAACGTTCTCCCTTGGATCACAGGGTTGTACACACACACACACACGGATTCACACAGACACACACTCTTAAGCAAGCTGCTGCTGCTCCGCTTAGCTGTGTGCTGTGTGCTGTCGGCCGCAGTCGGCTGTGAGGTGAAGTGGAGGTTCTCGGAGCCTTGGACTCGGACCTGGCCGTGGGCGACCGAGTCTACGGATGCAGCTTCTTTGGCGCCTACTCCAAGCGCTGGGAGCCTCAGGAACCACCTCATCTCCCGTCTCATTTCCCGTCTTATTTCCCGTCTCATTTCCAGTCTCATTTCCAGTCTCATTCCAGTCTCCAGCTCCTGCCCTGCTCCTGCGACTGCAGTCTTCTGAGGCGTTGTCGTGCCGAGGAACCAAATTGTGAAGATGCCAGAGGCTGGGAGGGGAAGCTGGCGCAGTGGCGCAGTGTCTTTGTAGGTCCTGGCATCCTGCGCCATGCAGGGCCTGAGCTTCGAGGCGGCAGCGGCTTTGCCATGTGTCGGGGCCACGGCGCTTCATGCCGTCCATTTGGCTGGTGCCTGGCCCAACGAGCTCCTTGCCTCAGGCAAAAACATGTACCAAAACAGAACATGCGCCAAAAGCGTGTTCAGCATCGCTTTCCGTGCTTCGTGCAGGCCGGGACGCGCTGGTGCATTCGGCAGCAGGAGCTGCTCAGAGCTGCTGCGGCGTTGTCGTTTCAAAGCCTTGTGCTGTGCAGGAGGCGTGGGAGACATGCTCTGTCAGGCGAGACGTCGTGCCAAACTCTTTGTGTCAATCTCTTTGCGCTTCTCGGCGTTGCATATCAGCACGCATGTTTTAGAATGCCTCGCCGTGATGCATGATTGCCCGGTTGCGCTCACACATTCGAGGGTTGCACTCTTCAAGTCCTGTTGCTCGCTGCTCCTGAGGGTGTACCTTGACTTCAAGAGCTGACCTGCGTGTTGGGAGAATGGTTTAGAGATCAATGCTCGGCAGCGCTTTAAGGATTGCAGGTTGCATGCACCACTGCAGAACAAACGCGTTGTTCATAGGAAGACCACGGCATTTCTGCATGCGTGTGGCGGACCCTGGCCCTACTGTAGCAGGGAACCCATTTTGCATCTTGAATTCATGGCGCCCTGCAAGATCCTGCGGATTTGCGGGCTTCGCGTCATCGGCGTTGTCGGTCAACCCAGCAAGGTCAAGTCCTGCAAGGCCAGGCGGTGTGATATTCAGATGCAGAACGCTGTGTGGCCCGAGCGCTCGTGCATGCTCGTAGCCCTCCTGGTCCGGAGTGTAGATTGTTTTTGGAGGCAGACATCGTCATCGACAAGTCCAGAGATGATTGGGCTCCTTGGCTTGCTGCTCTCATCCATCATGCACAGGTAAGGTTGGTAAGGTTCTTTCAGACCTACGCCCAGGCAAAGGCGGCCAGGCAGCACGCACCGAACGGGTACCGCGCCATCTTTGACGCCAATGGTGTGGCCACCTTGAAGGATGCAAAGCCGAAGACTGGGTGACTGGGTGGGCTTTTGTGGCATCTGGTTTCCCGCAGGCCTCCTATGAGCTCTTGGCCAGGAACGGGCGCCTCATTGTGTAGGGCCCCAAGCGGAGCCGCCTTTCTGCAACGGATTCAAAATGGGGTTCACGTTGGAGGTATGGCTTTCACTCCAACCTCCCCAAGTGCGATGGCGGCCTCGGGACTCTGTCGCCTTGGAACTGGCTGCGCATGGCGCTGGACCTTGCAAAGACGCCCCGCTTCGAAGCCTGCTGCAAAAGGTTGGAAAGATGACCCAAACTCTAAACCGCAAGATCCTGGATCCCTACGCGTGAAGCCTATCAAGTGTTGCGCCCAGGATCCGATGGATATGACGCTGGACACCAAAGCCGTGCTGGGCTTCAACCTGTGCCTTTGTTTAATGATGACATCATTCTCCAAGTCAGCCTCTGCAAAACAAAACTTAAAGGAGCTTCTTCGCCGATGAGACGGAGACATGCGGCAAATATCTCAAACAGATCGGTGAGTGGTTAGACACCAAGAAGATCAGAGTTTCTCGGCTGCCTCCATCCTGTTTGCCCGTCGCCTGACACACCTTGCCGAGCCTTGCCGGCTTCAGGTACCGCCATTGCAGACCTTCAGCTTATCAGGGGTGCGAGAAGCTCACAATGCCTTGACCTCTGGACGGAGCGTCGGCAAGCTCGTCGTGACTTGTTGACGACCGAAAACACAAAGAGCACACTTCCGGCCCTTGCAAGATGCCACATTGCTGCTGGTTTGGAAGGGTTCTGCGAGCTTGATCCAGTGCTTTCGCCAGGAAAGGCTCTACGGCCTGTCAAACCCACAGGGAAACCATGGTGAGGACGTCAAGGACCATGTTGGTTCCTTGCAGCATCAGCCGGCTTGCACGGTTTCATGGGAAAGGCATAAGCTGGCCATACCGTGAGACCCTTCTGAGAAGAGGGCTACTGCCTGCCATCCAAAGGAGCTTTACTACTACTTGGATGCCACGCCAACCCACAGCTACATGAAAATGATGTACAAGTACCCGCAGGCGAGGAGGTTGGCGTTCTGACTCACTGAGATTGAATGTTGCTCTTGCCTGGAGGGGGTTGGGAATGTGTAAGTAAGCAGCCCGCATTCCCATTAGTTTTGGGTTTTGCTTTTCATTGCTTCAACGCAAGGTGATTTCATTTATTGTTCAGCTCTTCTTGCTCCATGTATGTTGACCCTTGTAGCATCGTTTCCCACCTTGATTTGATTATCGAATAATCTTTTGTCCCAGTCGCACTCTTCTCATTGTTCGGCTTGCCGACACAGTCTTGTGGCTATCTTTTGATGATCTCAGGCTTAACGCAGGCGGTACTTGGCACTTTGAAGCTGTCCTGGAAGTCCAGACAGCGAGTGTTTTGTGTTTGAGTAGAATTTTGCAGGATGTTTCGTCATTGGGGCTTCAATTTGCAATGGCAAGGAGTAAGTTAGCCAGTACAACCAGCTACGAGTTACACAAACCCTCCTGCGCACAGACACCTCAAACGCCAGAGTTTCCGTTGCGAGCGTTCATGCTGGTGCTTGTGACAGGATCAGGGAATATCAGGGTCCATGGATTGGGATTTATTACGCAGGAGCAGGCAGGGTCAGCCACCTGGGCCACTTTGTAGCAAGCAAGCAGTAAGAAAAAGTCTTGAGCGGTCTGACTTCCGTCCACCCACGTGTCATATAACTGCCGGCGCAACAAAATGATTGCAAAAGGAAGGAATAGATAGTTGAGAAATTCCGGAGTTCTCATTCCTCATGTATAGCTAAGGTGTCAGCACTGCGTAACGCTGCTAATGCATTAAATGCAGAAGCCAATGTACTTGAACACATTTGGCTCAAGCATGAAAAGGGGGCCACTCCGCTAAGCTTTGTCGCTTTGGTTCCTTGAGGGTTAACTTGAACGTTTCCCTCTGTTCGGTTGTGATCTTCTTTGTTCGGACTTTCCCC